CCGACGGAGCAGGGAGCCCGATGTGGGGCTCGATCCCAGGACCCTGGGATCATGACCTGAGCCGAACGCAGACGCCTAACTGACTGACCCACCCAGGCACCCCTTATTTTATTTTATTTTTTTAAGATTTACTGATTTATTTTAGAGGGTGCACAAGCGGGAGGAGGGGCAGAGGGAGGGGGGAGGGGAAGCAGACTCCACCCTGAGCCAGGAGCCCTAGGCGGGGCTTGATCTCATGACCCTAGATCACAACCTGAGCCAAAACCAAGAGTTAATGCTTAGCTGACTGAGCCACCCAGGTACCCCTACAATTTTAAATATTAGAATGTGAGAGATTTAATAATCTGCATTAAAGACTTGCAAATCAAAGGCACAGTGCACAATGACATGGTTACAGACCTTCAAATTAGAGTTAAATGGAACAGATGTTTTACATACAATATGAAAATTACCATGAGTGCCCTCCTTTGAAGTCTCAAGAACCAAGTAATGACCATAATCTATAAATTATTCCTGAATGACAAAAATCACCTAATTCAATCTTCAAGAAAAATACGATTCAAATACAAAATTTTACCTAATCAAGATAATAGCCTGAAGTAAAACTTCATCCAGTTTCATTTGTTAGTATCAATGTTTAATATTTCAGCAATGTTTTAGTAAATATAATTTAGTAATATGAAAAATGGAGACTGGGGCACCTGGGTGGCTCAGTTAAGCGTCTGACTCTCTCTTTTTTTTTTAAAGATTTTATTTATTTGACACAGAGAGAGAAAGCATAAGCAGAGGGAGAGGGAGGCAGAGAAGGGAGAGGGAGAAGCAGGCTCCCTGCCGAGCAAGGGGCTGGATCCCAGCACCCAGAATCGTGACCTGAGCTGAAGGCAGATGCTTAACTGGCTGAGCCACCCAGGTGCCCCATAAGTGTCTGACTCTTGATCTTTGCTCAGGTCTTGATCTTAGGGTCGTGAGTTCAAGCCTCGTGTTGGGCTCCGCCCTGGGCATGGAGCCTACTTAAAAAAAAAAAAGAAAAATGGAGGCTTTATCTAAGAACTCACTTCAAAGAAGAGTCAACATAAAGAAAACACCATAATTTAGTAGATTAAAAGATGAAAAAAATCATTTGCATAGGCATCCTAACTGATATGTGATTAAAGAAAGAAGTCATTTCTTTTCCTTTTTTTTTTTTTTTAGAGAAGGGAGGGAGGGGCAGAGGGGGAGGGAGAATCTCCAGCAGACTCCCCGCTGAGCGCAGAGCCTGACCCAGGGCTCCATCCCACGACCCTGAGATCATGACCTGAGTCGAGATCAAGAGTCGGACGCTTAACTGACTGAGCCACCCAGGCGCCTCCCCAAAAAACGTCATTTCTAATTTTTAAAAAAGCCTTTAAAAAAAAAAAAAAGGATAGAAGGGTACCTCCTTACTAAATGCAATAGGTGTCAATGTAAAACCTGTTACACCTAACAGGGAAACAACACAGTCATTCCATTAAACATTTTAACAAGAGAAAAGGAGACGCCCTTTACCACCTGATTTCCTGCTGTGTGGGAATTTTTTGCCAAAGGAAGACGAGAAAAGGAAGAAAAGAATAGAGAAAGCGAAAGTTAAGAAAACAACGTCGCATCAGAGCATTCCTTCTGCGCCTGGAGGTCTGGGACATTGGATGTGCTGTCCTGATACTGAATGGGAATCTTGGGGAAATGAACCAACTTGCTGAGAACAGGGCAGAGGCGGTGCTCCCTCTGGGAAGGCTTGGGCAGGGGGTCTGAGCCCCTAATGAGCTGTCTCTGGGGCGTGACCTACCCCAGGACCGCAGCCCTCTCAGGCTTGGCCCCCTGGCTTCCCTTGAGCTGGTGACCTGACACTGGACAAGTTTTCCAGGGACCCTGCCAATGGTTTCTATGTCCCCAGACAAATCCTTTCTGTATGACAAGGCCAGTCCTTCTTAAGCTGAAGTCACAATGTGTCATTGGTCCTTCTGACCCTAACCAACACTTCCAGACACATCCGGGAGCCAGTCAGTTTTCTCAAAATCTTACAAAGTTTAAAAATACAAGGAAAGCCAGCGTCCCTCTTAGAAAACCCTAAGGATTCAGCTTGTGTATTTGTATTTGTGTTTTTAGGATAACATTTTGAAAAAGGAGAACGGTGAGGGAGATCTATTTGATGTTAAAGCAAGTTCTGAATTAGTGCCTTGGAATTTTTTTTTTTTTTTTTAACCCAGAATTCTTTTCTGACAATGACAGTTAATAGAGAATATCACTGCGTGAACGGATGCTGGAGCTCTGGCGGAGGGGATGGGGAAACCCAGAACTCAGTTGTGCCCTACACTCCCCCTGCCCTGCAAGTCAGCTCCCTCCACCCCATCCTTGGTCCCCGAAGGAGAGCCACGTGTGACCCCCTTCAAAGCCAGAAGGCTACGACACCATCCCCAGAAACTGTGAGACATTGTAAATCTGAGATCATGACATTGCGCGGTTCACGCTGGGAGCTCTGGATTTTTAGTTAAATGAATGATATGGAGCCTGGAAACAAATTCTGCCGTATTCAAGAAGAGCTCGTGCAATGGTCTAGCCCAGGGAACAATGGAAAAAAAAGCAAGTGCTGTTGAATGAGACTGAATAGTGGTACAGAGAAAGATGAACTTAATTCCACCACATATTAAAAAAAAAAAATTCTAGATGAGGAATTAAGAATGTATTCTATCAACAAGAAAAACCCATTCATAATATAACTCTAAAAAAAGCAAGTGAGAAGCCAACTTAAAATGAGCAAATAATTGCTTACTAGTAAATACTGATGATACATTTTTAACTAAGGTAAGCAAAGAATTACCAAGGAAAAAATGAAAAATGGAACAATAAAAAATTATAAAGTGCTTCACAATGAAATCCAACCCACCTAGGATGACAGTAACAGAACGGAAAAAAATCCTTACAGCACCTAGATTAAATAAAAAGCAAAGCGGTGTATAAAGAGTTTACACCAATGTCTAAAAATTCTAACAAAATTTCCAACAAGAAACTGACGAAGTTTATACAAAGAGAACAGTTTATACAAAGAGAACCAACCATGCAGAAAAATATTTAATGACAATAAATTAAAGACATGCAATCAGTGTATCAGTATTGAAATGCAATGTTATACCCACTAAAAGAGAGGAAAAAGTCATAGAAAGAATGCAGACAACACCTCGAATGAGCAGGCTCCAACAGGACCTGTGGCCAGTGATGGGCACCATCACTCAGAGGCTCAGCAGTTTTGATCAAGAGCCATAATCTCTGCTTATCATAAAATTGTAATTGAAAATAAGAAAAACGATAGAAACAATCTGTTCAGAGCAGCCTTTATTTGTAATCACCAAGATCTCAAAATAACCCAAATATCTAGCAATTCATCTTGGCACATTTTCTCTATAGAATATTTGGAAACCATTAGAATGTGAAACAGGTGAAGACATGAAGTTTTGGGTGAAATAGTAAGTGAAAAATAGAACTCAAAATTGTCTGCACCGTGCTTAAAACAAATAGCGAAAACAATAGAGAAAGACAGAAGGCAACAAAGAATGGGTAAAGCTCTGGTGTAGGAGTTGTGGATGAATTAGACATTGAAAAATCTCTCCAGGCATGCACCTCAGCAGCGAGGGGCGATTTGAACCAGAATGCTCAGACCGCCAGCACAGGAAGCCCCTGGGGCATGCATTTAAAATGCAGATTCCAGACCAAATCTGGTTGGGGCCCAGAAATTTGCATTTTTAACACTCAGGTGTGTTTGCGATTCTTAAAAACACTAAAGGTTGGGAGCCATGGCTTACTCAGTGATTTCAAAGTAGTTTGGTGATTCTAGATTCCAGTTATCTGCAGGCTACGAGTCTGGCTAACCAGAGGTAAATTGGGTCTATGCATCACGACTCCAGTTCGGTCCGGGGTGGGGGACAGGAAGAAGTGGGGTTCTCGAGGGGTGGGGGGTGGGCCAGCACTGGCAGGCCTGGATCTTTGCCCGGGCTTGTCCTTCTCGGGAGGATCTCTGCCTTTGCCAGATCGTGTGTGACCGAGCCTCTAGCTAAAGCCTGCGATGCCTCATCCGGGTCCTCACTAATCCTTGACCTTCACCTTGTCCCCTGCTCCCAGCGAAGTCCTCCGGACCCTCCCCTCCCTGGAGTCTCTGCAAAGGTTGTTTGACCAGCAGCTCTCCCCTGGCCTCCGTCCACGGCCTCAGGTAAAGGCTTGGGGGTTGGAAGGATGAGATTGATCAACCGGGGCGGAGGGTGAGGGGTGGGGGATAAGGTGGCGGGCGTCCCGAGGGCTCAGAAGGGAGCCTCCCACCCACTCCTGCCCGGAGTTGGCTAGACCACCAGAGCACGGGATCGGGGGTGGGAGCCTCAGGACTCTGTTCCTCCAGTAAGGCATTTCCCCCGCTGCCTGATTTTGATTTAAAGAATAAGGATTTCAAATTACGCACCCATCAGCAGAACTAATTAGTGCTGAATAGGGAAGCAAGGCATGGCCTTTTTTTAAATCATAGCTCACTGCAAACTATTGGAAAGAAGAACATGACATGCCTAAGTGCTGGATACCGCCTCTTGCCCCAAAAAGAGCAGGGTGAAGGTGCTCCCTGCCCCCCCCCCCCACTGGCTCGCAGTCTGTCAGGGGCCAAGGCCAGGTCATCCACTGAGGAAAGGTGTGTGTATTGAAAGGTGTCATCAGCAAAGGTAAAAAGCAAAAGCAGTCTCTTCAAAGAGAGTACTTGCAACAAATATAAGGGACAAAGGATTAATATGTTAACAACAAACCTCCTCCAAATAATTAAGGAAAAACAATCCAAGTTTTAAAATGCGGAGAGGTTATAAAGAAAGTCTGTCTTACTGGAGAGGGATGGGAATGACCAATATATATATATGAAAAGAAGTTTAACCTTACCTCATTAGTAACTGGAAAATGACAGCCATAGCAGGGAAATCTCTTGCCTATCAGATGGGCAAAAAGCTGGTTGGTCAAATCAGGGCTTGGCTCGGGTTTTGGGGTCAGGGGCTCACATAGATAGGTTCACCCCTCTGCTCTGCGGCTGGGAGAGGAAAGAAAAACGGGTTTTCTGAAAGGCCCTTTGTCCACCTGCAGTGACAATGTTAAATGCACACATCCTTCAAGCAAGCAGTTCTATATGTAGGCATCTGTCTTAGGGACAGAGATGTTTATTGTTTATTGTGGCTTTATCTCTAAAAACAAAAAACATTGGAAACCACCCAAAGGTAGAGTTGGTTAAAGTATGCCACAGAATTCTGTTCTAAGGTGGGTACACTGATGTGGACAGATTCCCCAAGGCATACTGTTGGGCGGAAAAATGCAAATGGCAGAACAATCTATAAATGATGATATACGTGTGGAAATCAGACCGGAAGGATTTAAACCCAAAGGGCCACTCTGGTCACCACGTGGGGGGATGGGACGAGGGAGAAGGGGCTGGGCCAAGGGGGGCTTCAGGCTTGACCAGACTGTTTGCTCGAGTTGTTTTTTGTTTTTTGTTTTTAACTGAGAAAATGTCTGTGTGCTATTTGTACAACTTAAAAATTTGCCCAGAAATTAAAAAGGTAGTTTTGCTTTCCTTGAAGTGAACGATGAGGTGTTAATTTCTGGGAAAGTAAAAGCAAATCTAGGCAAATCAGGGGCCCTGCCAGACACTAACATTTAAATAGTTTGAACAGAAGACCACACACCCACATCTTTGAAATAGAACAGAAGAGGGCGAGGCCCCCAGAGAGTTAAGCCCACTGACCTACCCGACCGGCCTACCCGACTAACCAGCCAGCGGGTTTATGTTCAGTGACAGGACAGAGCAGGGACCGGTTGGAGGGTGGCATCAGACATGGATGGAGAGAAACGGTTCTCCTTCCACTCTCCCTTACGAGACCCTGACTCATCAAGAAAACGCAGAGAGGTCATTCTTGATGCCTTCAGAAATTCATAGATCGAGGAGGAAGTGGCAAGGTAGATCAGAAACAGCTGAGCCCAGTATCTGACCCGCCCCCACTGGTCCTTTGTTTTCCCCATCTGTGAAATGGGCAGAGCGTGTCTGCCACTGCAGGGCTCTGTGAAGGAGTAAGTGAAATCACCTGTGTGAGACATCGGGCGGCCGTGCTCCGCTGACCTGTGGCCCTTCCCCTCGGGTCGGCGACACAGGCTGGGGACCCCCCGGGCTCCCGCTTGGACTTTGAGAACTGATGGGAGGTGCAAAATGCAACATTGTCAAAAACGACTGCGGACCTCAAGGGCTGGGAGAGACCTGGCTCTGCCCCAGGTGAGAAAGGAGAGTCGTTAACCCTAGAACCCACATCCTCCCTTTAAAAGGGCAACTACAAAGCAAAGTAAAATAACTGGGCCACTTTATGGGAACTCATTAGGGGAGATGAAATGAAGGTTTACTTTTTAGCCATGATAATCTTGAGGTGATTATAAAAAGCTCAGGCCAATCCGCTCACTTCTAGGCTAAGCTGTGAATTCTGCCCTCAGCCTTGACGTGAGTGACATTTGGGGCCAAATTATTCTTGGTTGTGGGGGACTGTCCTGTGCATCATAGGATGTTAACCCCTCTTTGTTTCTACTGGCTAGATGCCACTAGCGTCCCCCAAGTCGTGACAACCCAGAATGTCTCCAGACGTTGTCAGATGCCCTTTGGCGGGCAAAGTCGCCATCAGCTGAGAACCACGGGGCTAGATCTACATTCAAGTCTGAGGTCTACACTCGCTGTGTGACCTTGGACACACTGACTCACCACTCTGACTCCATTTCCCCTCGGCAAAACAAGGGTTAGAAGGATCTGTTCATGCAAGGATTAGATGAACGGATGCATTTAAAACGTGCTTGGCATCAGGGAAGAACTCATCCCGTTCTGTATGTTCTGCCTGCTGGGAGGCAGAAGTGCAGGGAAAGCTCCAGGATGGTGCTAACACTTTTGGTTCCAAGAACAAACTCCCCGTTTGTCAATAACTTCATTTACACTTGGTCAGTTTTTGCCAAACCTGCCTCATAAGACACAGATTTCAAAGAAGGGAAGACACCAGCCTCAAACTGCAAGGTAGCAGGTAGGTCATTAATTCCAAGTGTCTGAGAGGGACAAGAAGAGGTTGAATCTGATCTTTTCTATTCTTTACGAGGAAAACCACCCAAAGCAAAGGGGTCCTGAATTGCCGCACCGGGTCTGCCCCACCCCCACCCTCCTTTCCATATCTCAGGTTCTTTCCAGATCTTGAGGCTTTCCCCTCATTGATGAGATAAGCACAGCCTGATTGTGAGCTTTGTTAAGGAGCAGGGCAAAACCAAAATAGAGAAAATGTTGACGAATAGGATGTGCTTGAAATGTTGATAAAGCTAGGATGGTTGTGGGGGGTGTGATGGGTGGTGGTCGGGGGTGGTCGTGGTGGCTGCTGGTGCTGGCACTAATAGTCCATTCAAGTGGCGGGGGAGGGGGCGGAAATTTGAGGTCGAAAGCAAGTGTAGCTTGGCTGACTTACTAAGCAAGGGGTGGGGTAAAGGGACTTCACCTGGTCGGCGAGACCTCATTCCATTCCATACACCCGTCTGATTTTATCATCCAACTTCTGAGAGGCAGAGATGGTATCATTAATTCCACACATGTGGCCACACCTCTAGCACGGAGTAGATGCTTGGGAGATACCGGTTCTGGGAATAAACGCTTGAGACTGTGGACTGGGTCTCAAGACGGCCACGGATTCATGTTCTCTGGCATTCACTAGCTGTGTGACTTCAGACAAGTAACTTCAGCTGTCTGGGCCTCCTCCTGTGTGGGTTGAACTTGACTGAGCACCTTCTTGGCCAGGCGCTATTCCAAGCACCCAGGTCACAGCACTGAACACCGTCCTCACGGTCCCGGTTCTTACAGAGCTCACATTCCAGCAGGGAAGGCACAATGAACAAATACATGACCAAGGCGATTGATAAGGAACAAAGCAGGATGGTTTGATAAGAGATGCCCTGGTGGCTACTTTAGCTAGCATGGTCCAGGAGCACCTCTTTGTGGATCTGAGACCCGAGTAATGAGCAGGCCTACCCAGGTGACCTCCATGTCTCTGGGAATCCCTCAGGGAGTATAGCTCAAGGCCACGGGCAGGTCGGAGGGGAGGATGGGGGGGGCTGGGGAGGAGGGGTCATTATACAGAGTCCTGGAGGGCAGGGTAAGGGGTCTGGATAATTTTCTCCTAGTAGTGGGTTTCCAGCAGTAAGATGGCCATGTTTTGGAGGCATGAGGAGCAGCCCTGGAATAGAGGTAGGGGGAGCACAATCCTAGAATTTTGTCGAAGCAACTGAGTGGATGAGGTACGAAGCAGTTGGAGAAGCAGGTTTGAGAGGGGAGATGAAATGAAGGTTTACTTTTTAGCCATGATAATCTTGAGGTGATTATAAAAAGCTCTGATTTTCTTGTCTGCAAAGGGGGATAATCATAGTACTGAGGGGGTGAAATGAGACGGAGGGTGGAAAGGGTCCAGCGGAACGGCTCTCCATGGCTGACACTCTGGGACTACTGTCCTTACTTACTCTTTTCCTCAGGTGCCTGGTGAGGCCAATCCAATCAACATGGTGGCCAAGCTCAGCCAACTGACAAGTCTACTGTCCTCCATTGAAGACAAGGTACTGGGGGATCCTGCAGCTTCTCTTGGCTTCTCTGTGGTCCTCTCTTCGCTTAGAGAATGCCCGGGTGTGCAGGCTCTAGGCTTCCTTTGACCCTGTCCCCAAAGGAGGCTGCCTTCCCTGCACCTCTCCCCCCTGAAGGGCCTTGTGCGTTTACGCCCACAGGTCAAGGCCTTGCTGCATGAAGGCGCCGAGTCTCCCCACCGGCGGTCCCTCATCCCTCCGGTCACCTTTGAGGTAAGAGGCTGTGCCCTTGTGTTCTGCGGTTGGTCCCTCTGGAAGGACAGCTTTTGGCTCAGCTGTACGAGGGCAGGGAACCCAACACTGAGCGTCGTGGTTGGCAGAACCACCTGTGGAGATGGTAACGTTAGAATGGACACCCCGACAGGTCTGTGGAACCTCCTTCGGGGGGGCTCCCCGGAGAAGAGCTTCTCAGCTTCAGATGCTGTACACTGTGTCCTTCTCCAAATGGGCGCAGCGAGTGACATCAAACAGGGGTTCCCCCATTCCCCTCCCCAGAAGCTGGCTGCAAAGTAGTACCTCAGGGGAGAAGTAGGAAAAATATGTAATTCCCGTGATTTCCTTAAGAGTGACTGAGTTAGAAACTCTAAGCTCAGGCCCAGAAATTTGTTTTTCTTAATGATCCACAGAGATCCTGGTGCAGCCAGCCCAGCGCTGGTCCCATGTTCAGAAACACAGGACAAGATGCCCCCTACACAAAGGCCTTTCTGGCCCTGATGATAATTCTGTATTTATATCTCCAGCTTCTGAGCATGCCTAGGCAATTGTCTTTTTCCTAATTATTGCCAGTAAACAAATGTTCAACTGTTGTAACAAGGCCCAGGAGCCGAAATCTGTTCTTAACATCCTTTCTGGAGTAGATGGCACATCAGATTAATAAATGTTGTCAGATTAAGGCGTGAATGAATTGTTTTCCAGTCGTTCACCTGTTCCCTCCACCAAACCTGTTGGCAGAACAGCTGATGGGCGCACGAGGCACAGCCGGGGTCTTTCGCACATCTGAGCGGTTCTCGGGGGGCTGCCCGTGGAAACGTGGACTTGGGCCTCTGGGGCGAGGGAAGCTCTGAGTTTGAAGCCCGATGGCACCACCTGGGACACCAGGTCTGGAATGGCCAGGGGCTGCCCAGCCCCACAGACAAGGGGCTCCTGGGCTGGCCCCCAGGGCCCACACAGAGAGAGCATGACCACATCTCCCCTCCCCCTCTCCTCCTCACAGGTGAAGTCAGAGTCTCTGGGGATTCCTCAGAAACTGCAGCTCAAAGTCGATGTTGAGTCTGGGAAACTGATAATTAAGAAGTCCAAGGACGGTTCTGAGGACAAGTTCTACACCCACAATAAAAGTAAGACCCGCTCCCACCCACGCCGCTCTCATTCTGCTGGTGCCGTTTCTCATGACCGGCCCGTAGCAGAACAGCTGGGAAAGAAGTCCACAGGCACCTCCACCCCTGTGCTAGGACCTCACCCCCCACCCCCTCACCCTGTCTGTGGGACCCCGAGCCAGCTCTAAGGCCCACCTCACACACCCCTCCTTCACGAGGCCTTCCCTGTACGTTCGCCTCCTTCCGCCAGACCCTGGGTAAGTGAGCTTAAACGCATGGCTCTGGGGGGCCGTTCTCTGTGAATATGTGCCTCCCTGCTAGGAGCCACCTCACAGTCCCCGGACAGAGCCCTGCACACAGAGCGGCTGCCGGCCTAGTCAGGTAGCCTCTATCTTGGGCGTAGCATGGACTGAGAGCCGGTTTAGCACGGTGCTCAAGACTGAACTGTCTAAATTCGTATCCCAGCCCTGCCACTTGGCAGCTGTGCGACCCTGGACACAGGGTAGGCACCAGGAGAGATAACGGATGGCAGCACCTCACAGCACGTCTCTTGTGGATCTCTAGGGCCCAAGGCACGCGCCACCGCCTTACCCCGTCGAGAACACTCACCTGAGCTGTCTATTCAGATGGCAGCTCTTGGCTTGACAGCCAAGCCCTACAAATAATATCCACTATGGTTGGACCTCCAGAGGGGCGGGAAGGGAGATTATATATTCAGTGCCAGCTGTGCTGGGCACCATGCGATGGGTAAGTGTGCGGGTAGACCCTGGGGCTGGCCTGCCCGAGGTCAGATGTAGGCTCTGCCACTCGCCAGCAGGATTGTGTTGCCCTGCTTACTTAAGCTCTCTGTGCCTCATTTTCCCCATCTATGAAATGGGGATAATAATCATAATGGATTTCTCCTAGGCTTGTCATGAGAAGTAGATGAGCTAATGCACGCGAGAACTCCTCTTCTGTGCCCAGCAGCGGCACCAGCCCCTGGCACAGTGCCCAGGCAGAGACCGGGGCGGGGCGTCTACACCACATGGGCCTGCAACCTCTTGCTGCCAAGTCCCGTCTGGGTGGTGGCACCAAAGTCCTCGGGATGCTCTCAGGGCAGCAGATGGAGTGGGAGTCTGGGGACCAGCCCCATGCAGGAGGTGGGGTGCAGTGAGGGGAAGAGCGTAGATAGCACAGGGAGGTGGAAGGAGCCCAGCCTCATATCCCAGCTTGGCCACTTGTGACCCTGGTCTAGAGCCCAGATCTCTCTGATCCTCAGTGTACTCTTCGTCAAAAGGGTGTATATACATCCTGTAGGGCTACCATGAGTCTTAAATAGACTACACTGTGTTTTATTGAGCACCTACTACCTACTGTGATGGTAGATGCTCAATAAATCACCATCACTGTTGTAATTATCCTTCCAAGGCAAGGCAGCATAGAGCAGTGAGGAGAGACCAGGAAATGAAGTCCCTAGACACTGGAGTGTGACAGGCTGTCCTATTCATGCATAGTTGAGGCCAGTGTTGAGACAGGGCTGCCCTGTCTACTGGCAGGTTGGGCCGGAGACATGGGGTATGTGAGGGTTTGAGCAGGATTGGGCTGTGTTGAAAGTGATCCACTTAGAGCCATGCTTTCCTCTTACCTGTCACAGAGAACAGAGTTACAGCTGAAAGGGGTGGGCCCAACTTAAGAGGAAACCAAAGCCAAGGAGGAGGGGAGAAAGTGTCAGAGCACCTGACTGCTCTAAAAAACTCAAGGTTTCTGGACTGAAAGAAATCCCTCCCAGGGTTCTGGGAAGCACTGTGAACGCTTGTCGGTTTAATTCAATGGACATTTTTTCTTTGGAGTGTTTTCCATGAACCAACACTAAGTTGGAGCCCTCCAGAGATGTAGCAGTGTAGAAGGGGAAGTTGACCTGTGAGCATATGTTACAATGTGTATCAGATGCGAGGTTGGCCCAGAAGGAGGATGGATTAGCTCTGTTGTGGGTGTGCAGGGAGGCCTCACACCACAGATGGCTCTGTCTAGGGCTTTGAGGGATGAATAGGAGTTCACCAAGCATAAGGTAGGGGAGGGCCCTACGACTGAGAATGGCCTGTGTTGGGGCAGAGTGTTAGGGAAATCCCATGTCCCTTGTGGCCCTAAAGAGAGGAGAAGCGGGACATGGGGCCCCAGATGTGGACAGGGCCCTGAATGCCAAAGTAAAAGCTGGAGATGTTCTATGGCATGGACAGCGCTGACGGGTTGACCACCTAGAGGGGTGAATATACCCCTTTGTGGAATTCTGGACAGTGTGAAAGTTGCCATCAGATCAGGGACGGGTGAAAGAGCCAAGCTGGTAAAGAGGCGCCCTGAGAGACCCCAGCTCGAGTCGAGATACACTGTGACAGTGGAGTTCACGAGCCCTTGAAAAGAGAAGCATGGATGCCTGGAGCCCGCTAACCCAGACATTCTGCAGGCTACGCTCGCTTGCTTCCTGTCCTCCTTCCAGGGCCTGGAGCCCAGCTCACCCTCTGCCATGGCCTCTGTCACATCAGGACACAATTACTTGTTCCCGAGTCCCCTCCCCGACGAGGGCCGGGTCGTGATCTTACACACTCTGCCATCTGCAGGCCCAGCACAGGACCTGGTACCCAGCAGGTGCGTACTCAGGGATTGCCGATTGACTAGGCGCTTACAGCGTTGCTCATAAATCCCCACCTCCCCCCACCAAAAACATGGGGCCTCCACAGAGGCCAGGAAGTGGGGCTTTTTTGTTTACTGCTAAATCAATCCCCAGAGTCAAGAACAGTACTTGGACAGAGTAAGTGATCAGTCAGTACGTACTGAGCAAATCCATGAATGAATGAATGAACAAATGAGTTCAAGGCCAGTGCGGTAACGCAGTTCATGTGGATGCGTGTTTGGGTGCCCTCTTTATAACCAGCACGGGAAGCAGTGTGCTTCTGCGGTGAGGGGCTCTGGGTAAACTGGATTCCCGTACTGGTTTCACAGCTTGATAATTCCCTCGCTCCATGGCTTGATCATGGCGTGACCTTAAATTAGTGACTTACCTACTCAAAGCCTCCGTGTCCACGTCCATAAAACGGATTCCTATAGGGTCCTTGCGAGCGCTAGTGGCGTAAGGCATGTCTTTAGCCTGTCCTAGCACAATCAGTTTCCAGTCATGGTTATTGTAAAGTGCTAATCATCTGGAGGAAATCTTTGATTGCAGGTGTTGGGAGTTCCTTGCCCTGCTCCGGTCCCTGTGTTCTTGAATAGCTTTGGCACTGAGGTCTTCTATGCATAGGAAAAGCCGGTGGCTGTCTGAGGAAATCATAATGTATTCACTTACTGAGCAGTCATGATGTGCCAGGTGCTGGGGATGCAGAGGTGAACAAGCCAGGAGGGGTCCTGGCTCTCGGGGAGGTTCCACGCAAGTGAGAGTCAAGGAGAAAATAACCAAGTACACAAATACGTAAACCAGGAAAGTGTCAGGGAGTGACGAGCTCTAGGCTGGGAATGTAAATAGGATGTTATGACAATAATGGAGGACTGCCATTTGAGCTGACACCTGCGTGTCATGAACGTGCTGGCCACACAAAAACCACAGAAAAACCCTTGGGCAGAGGTTCCGAGATGGGAGCAAGCTTGTCATGTGAGCAAGCCTGGAGTGGCCGGAGCACAGGTGGGGCAGAGATTGATTGGGCACCTGTCCTGGGCTTGGTGAGCCCGGAGTATGTTCTACGTGCAGTGAACCACTGTTCGGAGATTTTAAGCAAGGGAGTGGTATGATCCCACTTTAAAATGAACTCTGACCGCCGTGCTGAGAATAAATTATGGCAGGGAGTGGGGAGACAGACCAATTAGGAGACCTTGAGATGGGGAAGGATGGACATTGGGAATGTTTTGAAGGTCAAACTGCTCATACCCGCTCATGGGTGAGATGGAGAGTTGCAAGGAAAAAGAACCACAAAGAGCTAGTTTTATTTAGCTGGGTGTGGGGACAAGTGGGCCTCTTACTAGCCCTGGTAGAATACTAATCCTGATCAAGCAAGATGTCACATCTTGCAAGCAGCCTCACGGTCCTGCAAACGGGGGTCAAGGAAAAGCCAGAAGTTCAGAAGGACAGAGATATAGCCTCATAGTAGCAGATTAGCAAAAGTCTCAGGGCATCCCCATTGCCAGCAGTAGGAATCACACCATGGGCTATTTACTGCTGCTGACAAGGGCGATAGGCTTTCTGAGCACACAGGACATCCACGATCTCCCTTGGGTAAGATTTCCAGTGAAGGTGGCAGTTGAACATACACACTTGTCAGTTCCCTTCTTAAAAGCAAAACTCACAGGAACCAAGAGCCTGAGGTGGCAACAAAATTCTAAGTGCTGAAAAGCAGATGGATAATGATAACCAACTTAAAAAGCCTCAATTTTAAGCATGTAGTAGGAAAAATTGAGACACCTGACTCATACCACAGAACCCACAAAGGGTACAGGAATTGATACTGTCAGGGGCCCCTAGAAGTGGTGAAGGTGAGGTTATAAACATCAGGATTGGATGAAAATCTATTTTAAAAGAGACCCACCAGATCTTTCTTACTCTTCACAGCCTACCCTCTGTTTCCCCTCACTCATTATACACAAGGATGTTAGTTTCCTGGAGAAGCTAAAGGGCTGGGGGGACACCAGGCCTGGTAAGGACGGAGGACCTCACTGGAAACAGGACAAAATAAGAGTTACTTCTGCATGTTGATACCACAACCTTCATCACTGCCCGGCCAGGATGCTTCCAGCCAGGCCCACACCCTCCGGGCAGGAGGTTGGAAGAGTCTTCTCTGGAGCATGTGACCAGCCCAGGGGCAAAAATCAGCCTATGGGTTTCCCTGTGAGTCAGCCCATGAGACCACCCATAGCAGAAGCGTTGCTTGACAGACCCCCACTGTCACTGTTGGGACACATAGCCAAGGATCACCAGACATTGAAGGGAAGCCTGGGATAGGCAGTGAGACTCAAGGCAAAAAAGAAACAAAAAGACAAAAAAATTGGAGGGAGCAAATTATGAAGGTTAAAAGAAATTGGACCATGAAACAAGAACAGAATGCTATTTTAAAATGAACATTCAGGGAACAAAATAGAAATGAAGAAGGAGGAAAGAAGAAAGGGGAAGAAGAAGATAGGGAAGGGGAAATTAAAACATTGCAGCAGAAATTTTTTAAAAATAAAAACAGAATGGAAGGGTGACAAGATAAAGTTGAAGAAGGCTCCCAGATGGCAGAACAAAAGGATAAAGGGAGGGAAAATAGGAGAGAAGAGATTATTTAAAATTAGAAGACCAGTCTAAGACATCTAATACCAAAATAAGGCAGTAAGAGAAAATGGAAACAATGAGAGAGACTCTCAGAACCAAACAACACCAGTTTCCAAATTGAAAATAGCCGACAAAGTGCCCAGCACGACAGAGGAACATTGTTCCTCCCTGAGGCACACACAACACTGGAAAGTCTTACAACATTGGTGTCAAAGAAGAGATCCTAAAATCTTCAAAGCAAAAGATAGATTACAGACTGTCAGGGCTCCCCAAGACTATCTCAGCAATTCACCAAGGAGAACTCCCAGGACTCGGCATAAAGTCATACAGCTATGATGTATTCCAGTGAAAGGATGCAAAGCAAAATCAGCAGAAGGAAAAGGCATATGGGAGGAATTCCATGGGGGAAATCAAGCACAGGCTTCCAGGAGTCCTCTCCCAGTGCAGTCACACGGGGCATGCTTAATTGCTCCCCCAATGAGTTGTGACAACACATGTGAAATGTTGTCTACCAGGGAAGCTCATTAGAGAGTCAGCACCCAGGGATTTTTAATGGGGACTGGTCACATAGGCACCCTCTGCCTGTCAAATACCCAAATTCCAGACTCCCAGGAGGAAAGCAGATGTTCAGCAACCACACTGTTAGTATAAATAGTTTAGGGGTATCAAGCTGCTTTTACCAGTTCAGGACAGGCTGGGGACCCTCCCCAAATCCAAGTTCCCAGATGACAACCAATGACCACCTTGCAAGCATCTTTTCCAAGGATGGCAGTCAGGCTTTCCAGGTTAACTCTTCTGCAGGCAGGTAGATCAAAATGACATTGAGTTTCTCAGCAGCAGTGCCAAAAACTAGAGCTGATGGAGCAAGTTTTCCCAAGGAAGGGTCCTGAGGAAAATAATTCCAAACTGTCAGTGAAATGTGAGGGTAGGGTTTTCAGACATGCAAGGCCTCCAAAATATGTTATCCATTCCCGTTTCTTGAAAAACGACTAGAGACGTGGCTCTACCAAAATTTGGGCATAAAACAAGAAAGAGGAAGACAATAACTGAGAAATTGGATCCAGTACAAGAGAAAGAGTAGTGAATTGATTCCTGAATGATGGAGAGGGAAGGTCCTAAGGTAATGGCTGTGCGTGAGACCTAGAGGTCACCAGCCCAGAGAAGAGAGGGCCCAGAGGCTCTGGGAGAGGCTTCCTCAGGATGGTAAAACTGATGAAAGTGCTTGATTATACAGAAAAGAGAGTTATAAACTAAGAGAGTTAGGACCAATGAAAAAGCATGGCAATTATTAACTCCAGGAAAAACCAAAAAGTTGTGTAAGAAAAGGGAAGCAATCGAGGCTTATCAGTAGCATTTCCATAGTCATAACACTGAATACTTACCTGATCAAAATGGTGATATAATTACTGGAAGATGATGATGGGACCGAAATTATGCATTGGTAGGGAGCGAGGAGTGGTGAGTACAACCTGTGTGGAAGAGGACTAAACCTCCACCTTCTGTAGTGGGAAGTCAATACATAATAGGAAATATCTAAAACTGAAACACCAGGAAGAAGTAATAGAAGCATGTTATTTAGAGACACAGTAAAATTCCCAAAGAACCCATTAAAGGAGTTAAACGTAATTGCCTGTAGGTAGAAGGACATTGGAGAGGTGGAGTTGGGGGGATACTATTGTTCGTAAAAAATCTTGTAGAACAGCTTGAGTCTTGATTGTTGATAGAAGTAAACAGTTTTGATTTAGATATGAATTAAAAGCAAAGTAAAAGAGGAAAGAGAAAGGAAGTAATTGAGGTAGGGGGGAGGAGGAGGAGAGAAAGCAAGGGAGAGAGGGAGGAAGATGAAAAGGTGACAGTTCACACTGTCTCTGCTCTGGCCAGGCCACCTCTTGCTTATTCCAGGCACCACCCTTCCCAAGCATGAGTCCCTTTCTGATATTACAGCCAGGAGCAAAGGGATCTAGGCGACTAGGCACAAATTGGGTGCTCACCTGGGGATGGGAAGTCAGGATTATTGCTGATTAGGTGCCAGAATATAGCATAGACTCTACATTTTGGGTGATAAGTGGATGAATGAATAAATAAACTTTCATTGCTCTTAAGTTCTACAGCTCATCAAGTCTCAGAAGTTTCTGAACAAGTTGGTGATTTTGGTGGAAACCGAGAGGGAGAAGACCCTGCGGAAGGAATATGTTTTTGCTGACTCCAAAGTAAGTGAGGACAGAGTACTTAGATGGGTCAGGAGGGGAGTGGGGGACACATGTCTTTGGAGGCTTGTGTGTGCCTGGAAATTTGCACCGTTAGCTTGCTCAATTCTCACCACTCATTTCCCATCTGGGAAAACCAGTCCCAGGAAATTAGGGGACACATTCCAGGTCGGCGGGGATTTGAACAGCTGCAGGTCCATCCTCCCCACTCTGCCACATTCCCTGCCCCCAAGAGGGTCCATCCTTTATCACTTGTGTCTCATCCAGCCCTGATCCCCACTGGGAGACTTTTTAGCTTCTCTGGGCTGGACTCAGAAGTCCTCTGGGGCATCTCAGATTTAAATCTGAATACCAACCAGCACTCCTTCTGTGGCCACCTTTTGCCCCACTCTGCAGGAGTAAGATGCCCCACCAGTCCTGGCTTCTGGAGCAGGAGGTGGTGTGGGCCAATGAAAATACTCGGGGTCTTTGAGCATTGCACTGGGCCTCTGTATAGCCAGAGGCAGGGTTCTCTGTGATCTGGTCACTCCCCTCTGACGTGCCAACCAGGGCCTGAGACCCTCCATCTTGGCCTTACTCTTTATCCTGTAGTATATGGCTCACACGAGGCAGGGCACAAAGAGCTTTCATCACATCAGCTGTTGGCTGACCAGGCATTAGCACCATGGCAAGGCTGAGGGACAAGGGCTCCCAGCTCAGGCGTACAGGGACAGTCCCCACCAAGTGCCAGAACCTTCCTTCTTTCACCTGCCCCATAGATGATGTGTCAGCGGGTGTGGGGGGGTGCTGGTGGGAGGGCAGCAGGAGGCCAGGCGGTGCCCAGAACTGGCGGAGAGGGTGGGACGAACTCGGAGGAATGACAGAGAAGGGGCTGGGAGAAACAAAGATGCAGGGGGCCAGACAGGCGGGGGGAAAATGGAGAGAAGGAACGTCTGGCTGGACCTCATTCTGGGTACATGGACATAGATCTAAAAACCAATTCTGCTCATTGCTGCAGGCTCAGAAGGATTGAGACATGGCAGTAAACTGAGGCACCACATTTTGAGCCATCCCAAACTAAAGGCAGGTTTCCATAACGACAGTCAGCATAACATCTTTGTGAGCAGGTTTCTTCAGAGGGGATTGATTAACTGAGATTTGCAATTTTTTAGTTTGAATCATACGAAATTGCCATCTCTGTAGGTGCGAAACAGCTAAACGCTGGTAATTTCATATGGTACAACCTAAAATTGGTGTGTGTGCTTGGGTGGTCAGCCTGCCCTTGACAGTCCGCTCTGCTTTGTGCCCCCTGCACACCCAGGGACCCGGGACAAGTCAGGGAGGACTCTTCAGGAGTCTCTGACAGCCTTCATGTATTCTCTTCTTTTTGCTTTCTTAGATCTAAATTTTCTTTCATTAAATAACTATTCTCATTGGTGAAGAAGTAACAAATACAAATAAAAAGTTTAAAATGGAAGCATCCATATGCTGCTAGTAGACTTTGGACTCTCAGGATGTTTTTTGTTTTGTTTTCTTTAAAGATTTTATTTATTTATTTGAGAGAGAGACAAAGAGAGCATGAGCAGGGGGAAGGGGCAGAGGGAGAGAAGGAAGCAGACTCCCTGCTGAGCAGGGAGCCCCACACGGGGCTCCATCCCAGGACCCCGAGATCATGACCTGAGCCAAAGTCAGATGCTTAACCAACTGAGCCACCCAGGCGCCCCGTGTGTGTGTGTGTGTGTGTGTTTTTTAAGATTTTATTTATGTTTTTGACAGAGAGAGACACAGTGAGAGCAGGAACACAAGCAGGGGGAGTGGGAGAGGGAGAAGCAGGCTTCCCGCTGAGCAGGGAGCCCGATGCGGG